TGGAAGAAAACCCCAACCAAAACAAACAGCCGCTAAGATTCCATTTATGGAAGGTCATTATCAGTTCTTATTATATCTGAAGTGTCTCTTCTTGGGGAACTATTTGAAGTTTCCTTATAAGAACTCTACAGACTTGACCGCGGTGTCGGGGGAGAATAATACTTTGGCTAATCCGTGATCTTTTCTATCACTTGCTATGGATCTGAGAGCTGGACAATTAATAAGGATGAGAGGTTGTTGCCTTTGAATTGTGATGTTGGAGAAAAGTACTGAATATCCCGGTGACTGCCAAAAGAACAAACTGATAGGTTTTGGAGAAGCTGCAGAGCGCCCCTTGGAGGCAAAGATGATGACGCTTTACTCATATACTTTGAACATGTTACTAGGAGAGGTTATTTCTTGCAGGAGGACATAATGTGTGAAAAGATGGAGAGGGAGCATGAGAGAGGAAGGTCCTGAACGAGGTGATTGACACAGTGACTGCAGCAACGGGCTCAAATGTCTCAGAGAGAAAGCTGACGGCATAGGATAGGGAGGGGTTCAGATCTGTTGTCCATAGGATCTCTGCGAGTCCTACTCGACTTGTTGACATCTAATAACAGTAACAACTAGGAGAACAGCATCAAAACACGAGAAGCTTGTAAAAAGAAAGGTTACAATGTATTACAAAAGCCTGGAGAAAATGTAAAGCCACAGAAGTTTGAAATAGCTCAGTTGGGAGAGTGTTAGTGTAAAAGGAGCAGATGCAATTGGATGATGGCTAAGTCTGACTTCTATCTATCTGCTTTGTAAAGGGGAATCTCAAGTGATAACATCCACAGTACTAAACAAATAGCTACATTGCCAGACATGCCACTCCACATGCTCCTCCACCTCTTCCTACAAATCAGTGGGTCTATTGTGTATTGCAACTTGATTCACCTTGGACTCACAATCAACACCTTGGGTATCAGCAGTCAGGAGATCAGGAGACAGAGTGCATTGAGAAAGCCTGCTGTCAAGGAGCTCTTCAAATTATTGAGGAGCAATGATGTCAGTTTAAAAAATAAGGTGTGCCTGATTCAGGCTATGCATGTTTTGTTTTTGTTTTTGTTATTGTTTTTTTTTTTTTTAGGGGGTTGAGGGAGGGTTTGTACTTTATTTTTTAGGCCATGGTCTTTTAAATAATTTGCTATTTACCTGAGAACTGGACATATTGAGTAAGAATGACAGAGGAAAATTTGATTGTTTTGAGCAGTGGTATTTCCAAAAGAGCAAACAGATATGGCTTGGAAAAGGTAAAACCAGAGTGCTCCTTGGAGGCAAAGACGATTAAAGTTTTATCTCGTATTCTTTGAGTATGTTGCTAAGAGAAGCTAGTCCTTGAAGAGGGACATGGTGATTGGATGGGTGGAAGAAAAGGGAGTTAGTTCTGCAGCCAAGTGGGAAACAATGACTGCAGTAATAGGCTCAAGTATGTCAGAGATTGTAAAGTTGGCACAGGAATCAGATATACTCTTTGCAGGGTCACTATTCTCCAGTAGGTGTCCTAATCCAGTAGAGGGCACCCAACAAAGTCAAAACTGTCAAAGACCTAAATTGAACCAGGGACCTTTGTATCCTCAGCCTAACACTCTAACTAGTGAGCTCTTTCCAACTATATGGGTCAAAAGGATTTTCTCTTAGCCTTTCTTTTACTAGATTCTCCTGTTTTGAAATATCCAGTTCGTACCAGGGTGTTTGGGTGCGTGATGGTCAGCAGTTCCATCATATCCTTTTCTAGGTGGAAGAAACTTGTGCCTTCATTTTCCCTTAAGATCAATCACAGCCTTGAGAACTGGATTGACATGGAGCTGCTTGGAGTCCACATGGTTTTAGAAAACGACCCTACTCAGTACTATTCACTCACTTACATAAAATTATGTGGGCTTTGTTACCTTTCGTGTCTGAAAAATGTAATCTCATTTTTGGAGGCTGTGAATGAGTTGGAAGAGGAGGGGAAGGAGGACATGAAATAGGCAAGATCAAGAAACTAGGAAATATTTTTTTTTGCTTGGCCATTTCTGGCTCTTCCAAGCTCCAAACAC